CTTTCTTTCCCTTCGGGAGATTGGCCAATCTCCATGTATGATTCTGATGAAGGGACTGTATTTCATCATTCATGGCAATCCTCCACTTATCTTCTTCTGAACTTTGGACTGCGTCTTTATAAGTGGTAGGAACATCATCAATTACAATTGAGGCGGCACAAGCAACCGTCTCTATAAGACGAACAGGTTTTGTTATTGTCCTTATTGGCCTGCTATTTGCAATTGATTTAAGTTGTTGTTGAGGTTCCTGAGTTGGAATCTCCCTCTCTACTAGCTCTTCTTCCAGAGGATAATCTTCATTTGTTTCCTCCTCTACTTCTTGTATAGGAAAAATAAATTTTCCCTCAAACTCTACCTGCTTAGAAGCACCATCATTTTGTTTGGTATGTTTTGTTACCTTATTTATCATAGCAGATTCATCAAAGGTAGCAGGGAATATTATTTTCTTTGTCATAGGACACCATAAGCAATATCTTTTGACTCCAGAAGTAATCCACATAAAAATAGTCTTCTTTGCCCTTGGATCCAATTTTGATTCTGTCACATGATAATATGCAGTTNTATTATTATGTTTGGCCTTATTCTTCAACTTCAGACAGTTTTTCTTCCAGTGCCCCTTTTCTCGACAAAAGGCACATTCATCTTTGTTGGGTCTAAATCTTGATTTGGATCTTCCTTTCTTTGTCCTCGTTTGATTTTGAGTACGACCCCTCACAACTAGTGCTTCTTCTTCTCCGCCCTTCTGTTTTTCTCCCTTTCTTTGTTCATAGCTATACAAAGCCGAACAAACTTCNAAGTAGATGGTAGACGATTAATGAGGTGGCATGCATATGTAACTATCTCAGCCCAAAATTCTTTGCCCAAGCCAGCATTGGACANAAGTAGAGTAGTTTCAAGTTGCTCGTACTCATTAGGAAGTGACCCCAACAGCATCAAGGCCAAGTCACCATCATCAAAAGTTGCATTCATATTTTGCAAATCTGTGACCAACTTATTGAAACTGGTGATATGTTCATTCATCGTGGTACCAGGAACATAGGTGAAGTGAAACAGTCTCTTCTTCATGTACAATTTATTTTGACTGTTTTTCTTCAAAAATTTATCCTCCAGTGCTTTCCATAATTTACTTGCAGAAGTTTCCTTTGTGTATGGATATTTCTGCTCTCTAGCAAGGTAGGATCGAATGGTACCGCAAGCAACACGGTTGATAATTCTCCAATCTTCTTCTCCAATAACATCTGGTCTTTTTTCTTCAATGGCAAGATCTAGCCCTTGTTAAAAAATGACGTCTAGAACCTCGCCTTGCCACATCCCAAAATGTCTTAACCCGTCAAAAGTTTCTACCGCAAATTTTGCATTTGACACAATTCTTGTCATAAGCGAAGATGCCAATGATGATGTATTGTTGACACTTGATGTAG